CCCTGCCAGGAAAACGGCTGCAAACGCCCAGACCTGCTGCAGCTAGAGAGGGCTGCTGGCCCCAAAGACCCCTAATGCCACATCATTTCTGACTCCGCTTTTCCAACTCCTGAGCTGTATCCTAGGCACAGGAACGCTGCCACGCCACAATTTTAGAGAAGGACTGTGGGCACCGGCCTGCCTACCCTCGACAGAAGTTCATAGTATAACTTTAAAAGAGAGTATTAGGCCAATGCTGAATTAATTTTAAAATCCTTCCCATAAAGCCTCGGCTTTGGCCTTGCATTCAGTGGGATTTCAGCCTGCGCTTAAGTGGGTTTTGAGCCAAGGATTTTAAGCACGTGGTTTTGTTGCTACTGTATTTAATTTGACACAGTTTTTACTCATTGTATGCCTCCGTACCGCTTCACACGCTGCTTTAATTACACAGTAGCAACTTATTTAAATTTCATGAGAAAAAAAATTGGGCACAATATTCAAACAGGTGTTTTCTTCTCTCCGCTGATTACTGGTTTCAATAAATCCAGTCTTTATCCCAAGTCCTGCAAGATAATTGTTCATGTCCACACTCCGTGGCAGATGCAGAACAGGGAATTCCATCTGGCTTTTCAGAGTAAAATCAAAGCGCCATCATCCATCCCCTTCTCCATCGCAAAGGAAACATTTGTCAAAACCTGTGATCTAGCTTCCTCTTCCAAAGATTAAAAATAAAGACTTTGAGAGAAAAGTTTAATTATTAATTACGACTTCATTAAATATTTGTCTTACCTGAAACTTCTTTATCCTCCTACCTTTATTCATTCTACCTACAAACATCTTGAGAATATTCTCCCTGTTCATTCATTCTACCTACAAACATCTTGAGAATATTTGGCAGTGCTAGATTTTTCCAGGTGCTTTTCAAATTTTTTAATATTTATGTTATTTTCCTAGGTGGTTTGGTTTTGGTTGTTTTTTTTTTTTGAACACTGAAAGCATTCATAGCAAAACTGTCAGGGATGCACGGTATTTTTTTCAGTTTTGCTCGATTGAGAAGGGACATTCTGGAGAGCTGCAATTTACTCTTGCACAATCTAACAGAAAATAATGTCAATAAAATAAATTGACTCCTAAGAATCCCCAAATTGCAATATATAAAGTATCATTTACAGTCAAACCAACAGGTACAGGGCAACTTATCATCTTACAAACTCCAACCCAAATGACAACAGAAGGGACTGCTCCTTTCTTCTTAGCAGGTATGTCAGGTCGGAACATTCTCTATCTGTTTGCAGGTTTATTTTTATTGAGTCTATTGATTCTTAAAGCCTTTTGGATACACAAGTCCCTTAAAAGAGGCAACTAATGAAATATTTCAAGTACAAGTCTTCCAAAGTTGCAGTACTGATGTTTTGGAAGGAAGCTTATTTCATTGTAGGAAGATTATTTCATCGATATAATTAAACTTTCTAGGGGAATCCCTGGGCCCTTATGCATGAAATCAACATCTATCCCTTTGTGACAGCACAATCCAGATTTCACGGAGGGAATTGTTATTATTATTTTTTTTACCAAAAGAGTGTGACCAGGAAAGGGTTAGAACAAGGCAGAAGATCCGCTAATTCTTTCCAAAGCATGCAGTAAGCTAATCCATTGGAGCCTAGCACAACAGTTGCTTTCAGCAGCACAGAACTTAAATGGGACTCAGAAAATTATCCCAGAATTAGTAAATAAACTTTTAAAGTAGTTTCAAGGCATACAATCTCAACCAAGGGTAGGAGGCTCTTACCATCAAACCCATCTTCCTCTGTCCCAAGTTCATCATCTGAGCAGATGTTCAGCACGTTTACCAGCATCTCTGTCACTAAAACAGAAAACAAATGCAAAACGTTGATACTAAGCTTCCCTGGTCTGTCAGAGAGCAAGCTCCAGTTGTAGTAGTGTTAATAAAAATTCAGTACCGAAACAACACCTGCTTTTTAAAGAACATGACCTTGTTTTACGCAGGTAGTAATACAAGCTCGAAGTGTTTCATGTAGTTAATTAAAAGTACAAGTTTCCATAAAAATTGCTCCAAATATAATAAACATCACAATAAAAAAAAAGACCTTAAAAAAAAAAAAAGCATTTACAACCTCTCTTTTTGCAATTGTCAATGAGCTAGTAACTTTTGTTTTCTCCCCCTCAATACATTTTTGCCTTTCGCTCATCTTGGACAACAGAACTGACCACTTTCCTCTTGCTGCTACATTGCAGTAGGATTTGATTTCCCTGCTCAGCAAATGGAATGAAATTCTAATTGAAAAACTTACAGCAAGAGAGATGACAGAATGTTTATTTATTTATCCAAGTTTTGGACACTGTACTTTCAGTTCAACAACACATAAACCCTTGTAAGACGTTCACAAAGGGGCAGCATCCCTTGAAATCCAGGACAAATAGACTAGATGAGCATTGTAGGTCCCTTCCTACAATGAACTGTTCCATATTCAATAGAAATATAATTATTGGTGAATTCAGAATATATTCAACTTGCTTACTTTGCAACTCAGGCATGGAAGGGTCAGCCTTAGACTACCACTAACCTGGTCCCAGCTCTTTTTGGAAAGGCAGCAGTAAGACACTAACCAGAGAGCACATGGGGTAAGAACAGTGGAAAAAAAAAAATCCAGCAATAATCACAACCAAGGAAATGTAATTTAGAGATCAAAAAAGCCAAAGTTATGAGGTAAAATGTGAAATCATTAGCAGATTGAGAAAAACTCCACTACATCTACATGTAGTAAGCATCATTAAAAGGGTTACCAGGCATGTCTAGTCTTGCACTAGCTACAGAGGTTGAAACTTAACGTTTTTTAATCAAGTGGTTATTAAAATCCTCTTCTGTGACAACTACGATGGCTTGGAACATTAGAAGGGTGGGATAAAGCTATGATTTTCCTACATTAGTGAAGGATTTAATATTTCCCTTTGACAGGATTACTGGAAAGACTTTCCACATTAACAATGACCAGCGAAACTAACAGCTTCCTACCTTGGTTGGCCTTTGAGGGAAAAAATCTATAAAAAAAAAGGAAATAAATAAAAAGCTGTGTAGAACATCAACTCTTACATCCATGAGCTTCGGTTTGCAGAGAAAGGGAAGACACTGATTTCAGTTCTCAGGGCTCTAAAATTTCCAAGCAATTGGTAAAAGTGACTACTGGGAAGACATGAAGGAGGAAAAAAAGAAAAAAGAAGAAAGAGGAGCGTTCACGGACTCAGAACCTCAACGAGTCTGACCATGCATCCTGCAACCCCACCTGAGCAGGTCACCGATGGGAAGCCTCTGAAAAAATGACCTCACAGAGCATCTTGCAGGACTGCAACGTGTATGGAGAACAAGCCCATCCTAAAAACAGCCTGGCTGAGTTTACGGCCGAAGAAAATGAAAGCGCTTTATCTGCTCTACGAGAGCCCGCAACATGCGTCAGTGTGGATTATGTAACGTCTCCATTAGTGGAAACAGCTGCCTATTCTTTCTTAATCCCTGTTTCATTGTCTATCTGCTTTGTTCACAGAGACCTCGGGCGTCTCACCAGCGGCTTTCCTCGTACAAAAGAGTAGCTGAAAACAAAGCTGGTCATGACTGCAGGTAAGAGCCACAGCTGGCTGTATTTCCAGTTGCCTATTAAGATAGAACTGTTATTCCAAGCAGCTTTTAAGAGTTTATTATAGTTTTCTGGCAGTAATTGCTGTTGCAGCAATATACTATAATGGATGGATCAAAGCAAGCTGCATCTCAGGCCCTGAATAAAATGACTTGGGGTTTAAGCAGTTTGCATTATGCATTCATTTAATACGTTAGACCAAAGAGTTTTCATGCCTTTTGTGTGCTTGCCATTCATAGCATGAAGTTGTCTTCGGGCAACATCAAGAGCATCGTGTTTCAATAAAACATCATTTATGTTCTTTAGAGTCTTCTAGCCAGCAATGAGGCACTGTACGCCCCGGGCAGAGAAGAGGCTGAGGAGCAGGTTTTCCTTCTTTCTGCCATCTCTCTACTCTCTCCGGGAACGGTTAACCAGAATGGGTCTTAGTCCATTGCCAGCTCTCTGGTGAACAAGCAACCCATCATCATCTTATCAGAAAGGTCAGCTGGGTAGGATGTAACCATGATGTAGCGAAGTCTGTTGGGATGTCCCTCGAGCAGTAAGCAATATCCAAGGGAATGCCCAAGAGCTTCTAAAGGAACAACTAATAAGAATTTTATTCAGTGACCGCACCTCTGGCCTGCAATGCCATAAAATCTATTTCTACAGCAGAAACATTAACAGTATTATAGCCTGGAAAGAGCGGGAATTCTAAAAACGTACAAGAAGCGTGATTAACCATTGATAATTGTTTGCCTCTCTGAGGCCCATTTCTTCAAATCTGTCCTCGAAAGCAAGTCATCTGTTTTCATATTATTCTTGCCATTTCAAATAAACAAGGCCACACGTACAGTGACTAAGAAACCTTTCTGCAGTTTCTACGAACAGTCGATTTACATACCTTTCTCACCCACAAACGGCAAGGACCAGGTAAACACATCCATGAAGTTTGGAAGCCAGTACGGATGAGGGGAGCAGTTGAACTGCCTGATATTCATAACGTTGTTCTCATATTTCAATACTGCAGCTAGAAGGGAGAAAGGAAAAGAAAAAAAGTGTGTGACTGGCTACTGGACCAGTACCGCTCACGGCGTGCCCAGCCTGCTCACCAGCTTTCAACCACTCGACCCAGCGGCAGCACTTGACTCCGAGTTATAACTGGATACAGCCTCAAAGATGACACAAGCCACTTCCAGTCTGAAAGTGGTGTCGTCAGCTCTCCCTGGCACTAAGACGGGTTGATAAGTGAATTAATAACCCTGAGTAGTCATGAACGTAGGCTCTGGGACCTGCCACCAGCGGGGAACGAGGCAGAGTATCCACAACCACTCATTTCGCACAGTCATCTGAGCTTCATCACACAACCATGCTTTGGAGAGGGCAGAGAAAAGCATTTATCACTTAGAGTTTGAGTGCTGCTCTTCCAATGAACGTTTTCAACGTATTGCATTCATAGTATTGTACAACAGGTGACACTTTCTTCTCCTGTTACTCAGACTCGAGGCGCGTGAGACTTTGCTCCTTGTAGTATGAATGAATACTAACACGATTTGGCTTGCACCGTTTAAAATTCGTATCATTCTTGTCAACACACACAAAAGACCACATTTGCTAATGGGCAGAAATACAGATATTTATGCCATAGTCATTTTTTAAAGCACTACACCAAGTTCAGTGTTCACTTGTGCTAATGGACTTCAGGTTCGTATCTGATACAGGGTCTGAATAATTTTAACCTGTTTTTGCAATAGTGATAGAACAAAGTAAATCAAAGTATTATAAAGCATATGAGTAAGAAACAGCTATTTATTTCTAGAAAAGACCATAGCTGCACCCAGGCCCAGTGCAGCCAAAAAGTCAGATGAAAGAGGGAAAGGCTGAGTGTGGCTTGGGTATAACTGAGAGGGCAGAGAGCACGGGCAGGAGACAAAGGGACAATATCAATTTGGTTAGGGAGGAGCGAAGTAATCATGTTGGAAACGTAGCACATGAAATAAAATTAACTCAACAATAAGACTAGATTAACTGTGCTTATCAAAACTCATTTTCCAAAGCATGAAGTTTGCCCAACACTACGTTCCGCACCAAATCTAGACTTTTGTGCATTTTAAAAATTTTTTTATAGCAGTAAGTGGTTATCAGGGTGCTGTAGATTACTCAAACCAAGGCCATTCATTGAGACTGCCTGGAAGAACACAGAATGGGGGTGGGTTCAGCAAAAAAAGTTGGCTTTGGAAGAAAGTATGGAGGGAGAGCTTTCAATAATATGGTGTTTCAATAAAAATCACCCTGTGCTGGATTTCTGTTGTTCACTTTATGAGTCAACTGCCTCAGCTTGGGAAACAGTAAAACTAAATCTCATCCTTTCCTTCTTTTTACTTTCCTGTTTTTTTGCAAAGATATATGAAATGCAAGATCTTAATAAGGCAGTTACTCAACTTGGTCGCAGTATCTCTAACCTAACTAGGGTATATTTTAATTTACAGCATCTGTTTCCTGAAATTCAGTAATTTCTACATTGCACAGGCGCAGAATACATGAGCTCTTGATGTGAACAGAGCCATTTATGAAACAGAAGAGCAAGTTATTTCTTTGCTCATGGAGAAAAAGGTAATTTTGAGATGACCACCTAAACCCAAAGTGACTCATAATTATCCTAAACACAAAGACATAAAAGTTTTTAAGCAATACAGTCACAGCAGACTGCGGGCAGGATCTTTAATCAACATGGGACTAAACCAGTCAACCCAAGGTGAAGCTTTCATCCACTGTAAAAGGTGCTGGAACTTTACATTTTTATTACCAGAAAATTAAGGGTGGGGTTTCACTTTTTAGAAGACAGCTCAGTGAACTTTATATGAAGTTTGCTGGTCATCTCACTACTGGAATTTACATATAGCTCTGAAAGCACTCGCTGCTCACATGCTTATTCTCACGTAGACAGCGCTGACTTCACTATGACCTGCTGGTCTTCACCTGATCTTGTAGCAGTTCTAGTTCTGCGGCTGTAGGTGAGCCGTCATCAAATACTTTTTACACTAGAGACAATATACTGCACACACTGGAAGACACGTATGTAACTTTTCATAAATCATCTTCAATTTGCCTTTTTAAGCTAGGAATTAAGCCATCCTGATGAGATCTAGTAACCTGCGACCTTCAGAATGGTCCTCCTCAGCTTTAGTTGGAGAAAAATGAACCAAGGAAGCAACATACACGATAATGTCTTCGTAAATGATGAAACAGCCTGAATCAAAACGATGTCAGAAATATACCACTCCAAAAACAGATAGAGAAGGAGGCATATCACACTTTGTTATCCTCTTTCCTCCACCCTTCCCACCTGTGGCGCTCCAGGGAGGAACATAGTTCCAAGGGCTGGTTATCACCTCGCAGCCAGCAATGAAGCTGCACGACTGCAACATGGCACAGCACTGTGGGAAATGCAGCGTATCACAACGTTGGCTGAAAGGGGACAACAAGTTCTTCTGACTCTTCATCTCCTTCCATTGACTAAAGCGTGTGTCAATCGGACAAGAAACTTTTTTTGATGCACTAGACTGTTGTTTCCCACGCAAATGTAATAGGTTCCTAAAAGTTTTCTGTTTTGTGGCCAATGAGAGAGTCCAGAGTGACCTGAGAGTTTCTGAAGCCCACTCACCCATAGAACACAGACAACGGCTCGCTGATTTTATATAAACTTTTGCCAGGCAGACACCCTCTATTTAAATAAACCACATTTGACTCTCACCATCCTACTCTGATAGTTGGCAGCCACTCTGCTGCTCACTAAAATAAAAATGGCTTAATACTGCTATTAGCAAAAATGAGAAAACTAGTGTTGATGCTCTTAATATTTCCATCACTTTTTGGCTGAAATTACATATGGCAGATCGAAATTCATTCTCCTTCTATTACAGTGACACAATTGCATAATAAAAATAAATAGTTTGTGGCTTTACAGCAAAAATGAGTCAAAACCACACAAAAAGGATCACTTAATGGTTGTGAGGATTCATTTAGAAGGACTAAAACTTCAAATTCATCATCTTAGTGAGCTGAAGTAGTTCCTCTTTCCACTATTTCTTCAATTTATCCATTAAGTCTATTTCTAAATTCTGTGAAAGCCAAATAAATCATTTTTACAATGAACTTTTAAAACTAGCCTCTAAAAAAGCCTGAACCAAAAGCAGAACAGTTGGAAAACATCAAATTAAATGCAAATGGCTTTAGTTGAGTTTGTTTTTTTTAAAGGAAGATAATTTATTTTGAGATTCTGTAAAATAAAAATCTTCACACCACCTTATTAATTTATATACTTGAGTATCTTACAAAAGCAAGTTCTGATAACAGTATTTTGAAAATTATTTTCCTCATTAAATGACCTGTACAGCTCCCCCACAAATGACTTCAAAATCCAGCTGAAGAAAACTAACACTATACAATAGAGCAGGGTAATAACAGAGGCAGGAGTCTTCTAAAATCACCCTACTCTTAAAAGAATAAAATAAAGTAGGGTAGTTACCAGTATCACACATACTTTTCTGAACTTTTATTTTAAAATCTTTCATTTACAAGCATGACGTATGCAAAATATTTTTATTAGGCAACTAACGAAGATGATATTTAAACATGAAACAAACTGGCTCTTGTTATGATTGTGCATTCCTGACTACTGCTTAATTGTCAGAAAAAGAAAACTTCACCTGGATCAAGAAAATGTTGCTCAGATAATAGCAGGAGTTTCCCTGAGCTATTCTGGCCCCTTGCTTTCTTTTGGTCATAGCTCTTGCTTCCCTCTCTGTTGGCTCAGAAAAGGTTTGGGGGTTTCACCTCTCCTTCGATTTCTTAGTCCACACTAACTTGATGCCTAAATAGCTATAGGAGACCTCAGCTGCCCTGAAAGAGCAGGAATCTTTTAAAGGTTATATGACTGCAGGTCACTGATGGAGGAGACAGAAGAAAGTAGGATGGGTTCCTTTGGTTACGAAACCCGGAACCGAGGAAAACCTGACTCTCTCCAACATTTGCTTTTTATTCCAGGCTGCAACCTCTATACTTTTCTCTCCAAGCATATATGCAGAGCAGATGCTAGCAGACCAAGCCACCAGTCACAGTTTTATTGTGTAGAATCACCAACCAGAGCAAGAATCTTATTATTCTTAACAGCCACACACATTTTAATCTAATTTTGATACTCGCTGTTGTAAATGAGTTTTAGAAGCTAATGTTTTGTAAAGTGAAGATGTGCAGATATCCCAAATGACATTATACTTCTTTCCAATGCTAGTAAACTGAGATATCGGATGCTTAAATCACATTAGAGTGAAATGAAACACCAACGCAGCAGGCAAAGGGCGCTCGTACTGTTCAGCTTTAAGCATTTAACAGAGGTACCTAAGGCTGGAAATACAGGTGGTGAAAAATGTTCAGGTCAGAAACCTCCTCCTTTCAGCTAGAAATGGAGACAGCTCAGCTAACCTCAGCATCAAATCCTGGTTGATGAGAAGCTCAACATGAGCCAGCAACGTGCGCTGGCTGCCCAGAAAGCCAACCGTGTCCTGGGCTGCATCAAAAGCAGTGTGGGCAGCAGGGCGAGGGAGGGGATTCTGCCCCTCTGCTCTGCTCTTGTGAGACCCCACCTGGAGTAATGTGTTCAGCTCTGGAGTCCCCAGCACAAGAAGGACATGGAGCTGCTGGAAGGCCACAAAGATGATCCGAGGGCTGGAGCACCTCTGCTATGAAGACAGACTGAGACTCAAGTTGGGGTTGTTCAGCCTGGAGAAGAGAAGGCTCCAGGGAGACCTTCTAGCAGTCTTTCAGTACCTAAAAGGGACTTACAAAAAAGCTGGAGAGGGACTTTTTACAAGGGCGTGTAGTGATAGGACAAGGGGCAATGGCTTTAAAAATGGAAGAGGGGAGACTTAGATTAGATATATGGAAAAAATTCTTCACTCGGAGGGTGGTGAGGCACTAGAAGAAGTTGCCAAGTTGTGGCTGCCCCATCCCTGGAAGTGTTCAAGGCGA